ATCTTATTTTGTCTGCCCCTTTTTGACCCAGAATATATTCAAAAGAAACATTATTTACAAAACAATACTAAATAACATAAAAATAAATAAACTGATGTGGAGTTATTTGCTCAGTCTAAACCCATACTGACTGTTACTTGAAATATTTTGTTTATTGATAAATTGATTTAATCTTGTCACAAATAACTTCTCTAAAATCTTTGAAAACTGTGGCAACAAAGATATTGGTCTGTAATTATTGAACAAACATTTCTCACCATACTTAAAGAGAGGAATTACTTTGGCTACTTTCATGTTGTCTGGAAATATACCAGTTGAAAATGATAAATTACAGATAGTATACTGTATGTAAAAGGTTCAAGAACATAAGTCATTATTTCCTTAACAAACATCATGTCCATGTCCACACAATCTTTTGATCTTTTTCTGCAAGACTTTTTACAATATTCATGATTTCTTCTTTGTCAGTTCCATTAATAGCAGGGATGGGATGTTAGTCAATTTCCATGATAACTGCAGCCACATAGTGCTTAATGCGAACATACAGGGTTTTTGATTATAAATTTCCTTAATGTTCACATGACTAGTTGTCATGTGAAAAGGGGGAATTGAAGAAATTTATTGGAGTTGTTTACTACTGACTTTTAAAGACACTACACATTGTACGGTCTTCTATTAGGTGAACAGTAATATATTCATAAAATGTGGTTATCTCTGATTGAATTGATGATTTTATGTGCAGACTGGGATGTGGGACTCTTGACCAGGATTCCACACACTCAGGAGGCTTTTAGTTAGATACATGTCTGATTTAAAACAACACATAAAAACCGTGATTATACATTAGGGTGAGGAATAATGTCTGACATCTTGACTCCGTATAGAATTAGCCTGGCCCTTTAACAGTCTTAAGGTGGAGTCAGGATGTGAAGAGTTTTGTTTCTTAAAAACAAAAAACAAACAAAACAACAACAACAACAACAACATAAAAACATCAACTCAAACAACAAATCAAATAGCTTCACATTTTGCTTTTCATATTTATTCAGAAAACTAGGTTTTATCTGTCTTTTAAATATATACATAGATCTGGCATTTTTAAGATCATCCTCCAGACCATTCCATAATCCTACACCCTGGATTAAACTACATTTTTCTTTCAAGCAAGTATGAAAATATGGCTTCACAAACATTTCCATCCCCTTAAGATAATAACGACTGTCTCTCTTAACAAAGTTTACCTGAATGTTGGAAGATAATATGTTTCTGTGAGCCTTGTACATAAACAATAAAATTCTGCAAGCTTTACCCCAGACTTCAACACAGCAAATGAAATTTGGAACAAGTATTGAATTGTACAACACAAGCAGTGTCATGATTTGTCAGTTTTCACCTTGGTTTTCCTWGTGTTTCTATGTTCCCCAGTGTGTCTCAGCCCAGCTGCCCCTTATTAGTCTGATTTTTCACCCTCGTATTTCTCACCAGGTGTTTTCAGTTCATCCATTAGTTGTCAGTGTATTTAAGTCCTGTCTTGTCTGTCTGGTGTCAGATCCTTGTTTGCTGTTCTCGTATTCTTTGTTCGCAGTTTGATGTTCCCTGTTGGATATTCTTGTTCTTGTTCTTGTTCTTGTTCTTGTTCTTGTTCTTGCCCATACCCTTTGTTATTGTATGCTGCCACGCCAGCACTTTTGTTTTTGTTTTGATTAAATCACCTTTTTGCCACACTCACTCGGTCCTGCATCTTGGGGTTCAAACCAACCAAGCCAATTCTTATCAGAAGGATCTGACCACACCTGAACCCCAGCAGACTGAGGTGAGTTTTTTTTTTGTTGTTGCCAGTACCAGGAGGGTTATGGAAAATATTTTTTCATGTGGTGGCCCTGGGTCTGATTGCGCTTAGATTGGTGTCCAGAGAGTGGTCAGACCACCAACTGAACCCGGCAGGCGGTTTTTCTCCTCCCCACCCACAGCTTGTGCCCTGCTGGCTTCTCCCCTCTCAAAAACCCTGGGGCTCCTGGAGGGGATGAAGGGTGAGTTGGCTGGCCTTAGGGTACTCGTCGCTTCGGGGTGCCCTTTGGAGCTGGTGGCACCAGGGGTTTCTGAAGCCCACCCTCCCCATCCCTCTGATGTGGGCCCTCCTGCTCTGGTTCCTGTGGGCCCTCCTGCTCTGGTTCC